CCTGATTTTAGGGGATAGGACGGCCGGGTCAATAATCATGTAAAATAAAAAGTTATGAGGGTAAGTTGGGGCGCGTACTCGAACCCCGGGCGGGGACACTGAAGCAAGCTTTAATATCATCGCTAACCCCCCACCGGACCAATGGCGGGGGCATGTATGTGGAAGAGAATGCCCTAACCTCGGGCGAGGTCACTGAGGTTAATTTTCTAGTAGCATCGCTAACCCCAACTAGAATAAAGGTGAACGAGTGAGGGAGTTTGAAGGCTGTTGGAAATTCACCCTACTTAACATTTGTAAGTAGGCGATCATTCCCCACGAGGAATCCTTGCTAAGTTCTTTTATCACCATAAGCTTCTTCACGCGCAAATCACGATCCCGGTGTCTGCCATGATGCGGACACAGGATGCGCATCCTCAATTATATGTTTTTCTTAATTTTCGATAGTAATTTCTTTTTTCAAAAGGAGAATGAAAGATGATGTCTACTGTCAACTCGGAAAAAGAAAATTGTTCAGCAGTCTACTACAAAGAGCCGAAATGCAACAGCATTTGCCTCTAGTTCATTGAAATCCTGTCTGAAGTTGAAAACCAAACAGTCATTGCCTTTCGGCCGCAGCTTGGACCTTAAAATCCCACAAACGAAACTTCTTAGCTACTTGCACGAGCCATAACTAAGAAACGATTAATTTTAGAGTCAACGTAGCATCACTCCTAGACACAAGAAATTCTAACAATTAGATGAATTTACTGCAGGCGAGATTAACTTTGGATTGGCCGCATGAAAGGAGGAAAGAGTCAGGGAGACTTTTAAGTCCGTAGGTCTCCAAGGAAATCTGGAAGTAGCAGTCATGTGTATTTTCATCCGAGGCAGATGGATACCACATTATTCGTACATGAGGTCCTGATTGGCTGATCCATATTTGAGGGCATACAAATCAACAATAACACTTAAATTACTAATCAAACAAGCACGATCACTATGGGCCTTGCGACGCCAATGCGAGGGAATTCCCTGGATGTACGTTTTGAGTGCCGCAAGGAGTTCCGCTATACGCTCCACCCAGACATCGCACCGAGCCTGACTAATGAGACAAGTGTCAACTACGTAGATTCGGTAGGGCACTGCGAAATTAGCAAGTCATTTTAACTACCGTAAACTTTTAAGTAAGTGGACCGATGCAAATGATGCTTCAAACAGCAAAATAGATTCATAAGGCTTTGTTAGGTAGTTTTTGACATTCCAAGCGAATACGGAAATGCACGTATGAGGACTACTGACACAAACCAATTGATCGTAGAGCAAATCAATGATACTAGAACGGTTTCTGAGGCGGCACGAACAATTTTCTTGCTTAGCCAACCCGAGTCAGTAAAGCAAAAACACGTAAAGGCCGAAAAAGCAAAAACAACTTCTTACTGTTGAACAGCTATAGCCTTGACTGTCCTTGCACCAGCGGGTAGGGTGAAGGGATTACGAAAGAGGTAGGTGGAACCACCACGACGGCGGGGTTTGTAGGACGCG